GGAGAAGATATTTTCTTCACCAGATCCTTCCTTCCTTCCTTTGAGTTCTATGTTCTGTACCAGCTCAGAGAACAGACTTCTTGAAACTACTTAGTATTCACCACAGATGACAGCCTTGTAATTTTGTGAAAAGTAACATCTGTTCAGGGAGAAACTGTGTGTACATGTATAAGCAGCTTTCCAAGACATGTATTTCAGAGAAGAGGGAACAATTTTGCTCAAATATCCCTAAAAATTACCTGCCTTTTCAACATAATCCAATGACCCAGAACAATCTTCCTGGGGAAAGAAAAAGAATATGTGATGATGTCCAGACCCCCAGCTGACACCAAATGATATTGCTCCTTTACAGATCTACTCCATTATGGTTTTGCTGCCTGATAAGAAGAATCTCCTGTCAGTGGCAAGTGGAATTTTTCAAAACCAATCTATATGCTGGACTTCCCTGTGGCTTTAACCAGCAGAGCTTTGCATCACTGTCACTGCTGATACAGGCATCCTGTGAGCATCCAGAACTCGGCTGAGTTTCATCTGCTTTCACTGGACAGTTTGACAGAGCTGTGAGGAACATGAAGTTTTTCTGCAGAAGCACAAGCTGGCTGAGATGCTTGGCGCAGCTCTGATGAAAATAGGATATATTTGAAGGTTTTAATATGACGCCACAGCTGTGAAGGTTCATTTGGATTTTGTTCTGCTTAAAAAACCTCTTTTCCCAAGGGTTACTTGAGGTACTTTTGAAAAGCACTATCAAATTAGCTCATCATATTCAAATGTAATTATTTGTTTCACTCAGAGATCAGCTAAAGAGAATATTTTATTCTACCCATTATTCTTCTCTCTTCTTTCTAGCCATTGGGAAACAGGACAAGGATTAATTGCATGTCAGAGTCTCCTGTTCTGGGTAGCAAGAGATCATTGATGATCTTAACTCTGGTTTCATTCCTATATACTTGATGAACATTTCTCCTTTAATTGTACAAACATAAATAATAACACTTTCAACGAATACATTTCATATATTTGTGTATTTTTTTTTGCAATTCCTTGGTCAATGTAACCACAGGTAGCATTTGTTGTTCAAACCTATGGTATGTTTTTCATTGATTGCCTTTTAAAGGACATCTGCTCTTACAAGTTGGTCTTACTTTTAATGCCTGTATCTTTACCATTAGAGTTCAAAGTGAAAGGCTGCTATATTTAACATACTTCATCTTCAAAACAGTGGCACGAAACCACCATGTGACAATAGGTGATTGAAAAAAGCAACCTTTGGTCTCATGGCAAGGCTTCTACCCAGTGGAGGCCTGGTGGAATGTGGGGCTATGGTGTTTCAGCTGTGGGATCTGCTTCCAGCAATGTCCCACATGGATTAGCTGCTCCACGCAGCTGTTTTCCCTTGGTGCCAACAGGGACAAATATCCTGACCTTCACAGTCACGTATAATTGAGGGAGCATAACACAGAAGGGCTGAGCAACATGCTCCAAGGCTTGTGCAAACCTAAGGAGCTATTACCAGTAGATAAGATGACATGTTATCCTAAAATCTGTGTCTTTGCATTCAGGATATTTTTTTGCTATCAGTATCTCCTTTGTTTTTTTCAGTCAGCAGCCTCTTTGTTTCTCAGATGTCACCCTCTTTCTTTTTCAGACAGATCAGCAATGTGGTTTTGAGGCAAATATCCAGATCATTTTTATTTAGTGCTCTTTGATTCATAGCCAGAGCAGCCTGAGAGTACATGCACCTGGAATCCCTTTCAGTGAATCAGCATGGGAAGATGCACTCTAGGAGCATGCCTAATTTGCTGCAGTTGTTGATGGATGCTGACTTGATGGAACCAGACTAAAGCTACTCCAAAGCCAGTTCTCTGAAATGCAAATAGTGTGCATGTTGCATGCTCACTACCAATTTCTTTGCCTTACAGATGTGCTCCTGCTTGCTAACGTAGCAGCAGCATGAGAAAGACACACTACAGCATGCCTGCTTTCAATGTATGAAGGGATCAGGAGACACAGTCACTGACTGGGGAACAGTAAAGTTCATCAGGGCTGAAAACAGCTAGTACACACAAAATTTAATTTGCAAAATGATGGAGCAACTACTTACAGTTCTCTGTGGCCACCATCAGGTCACCCATGTGGACGTCATAGTTCCCAAGGTATTATCCCACTATTTCAGGACTCCAGGAGTAGCTAAATCAAGCCATCCTCTGTAAGAGTGCCTTTGTGTTGGGACTGCAACAGCACAGATCTAAGTGACTCTGGGATGAAACCAGGTTTGTGACATAAAAGGGGCAGACAATTTGCTCTGGAACAAACCTTTATGTGCCATTCTTTTGGGCTGTAAGTCAGAGCAGTGTCTCTATAGTGTTATATCTGTTCTCAGGAAACATTTTTCATCCTGGCTCCAGTATTTTGTGGTTTATTTCTATAATTGTAACTTGTGACTGTAACACTGGACAGGTCTCCCTGTTTGAAGCAAAAGGATGACAAAAATACTGGCATCCCTCTGTGCAGACAAGCCAGATGCCCTTCAGAAGCAGCAAAAAATATTATTGTACTTTTTCTTCCTGATCTCCTTTAAGCCCCTGTGGGAGTTCACTGGAGGCATCAGCAATAACAGAGTCCTTAAAATGAATTGTAACAGCCAAGGAGAGTTTTTGTTTGATCACAAATGGAGTCCAGAAGATGAATTTTGGAGATGAGCAGGAAAGAAGCTGTGAGAAGTTCCATAATTTATTAGTGATGAGCTGGCTACAAGAGTGAGTCAAGAGTCAGGAAAAATAAAAAGGGTCAAGAATGAGAACAAACACATCCTGGGAAGCAGAGGCAAGCTCGGGAATATGATACAGTGTTATTACAAAGCTACTAATAGAGCTGATTTGTGACTCTGTGGCCTGACCTCCAGATCAATAGTATACATCGAGTGTCAGGAGCTAGATTCAATCATCGTTAATTCAAAATGCCTCTCTCTGGAGAGAATGAAGTAGTAAACAAATAGGAATTAAGCTGTGACTTCTGTCTGTCTAGATCCAGATCTATCTATGGACAGAGCATTGATCAGTCAATACATAACTATGTGTGGAGAGACTGGTACTGGTCCATATGAAGATCTGTATGTCTATGTTTATGAGCCTGATAGGAGAGTCTTTTATAGAAACACGTGTGTTGGACTGAGTTTGCATGGCCAAGCTTTTGGTACATGGGAGATACAGAGGTGGCTGCTGGGAGAAGTTGCTGGCAGTTTCCTCCCTGTCCAGCAGAGGCAGTCCCTGGCAATTCACAGATGGAAATGTCACTGGCCAAGTCTGGGCCAACTGCAAGTGGTGGTAATGCCTCTGTGATAGAATATTTCAGAAAAAAATCACTTTTTTAGGGAAAAAAAAAAGTGATTGCACAGTTGTAATTGTGGCCAGAGTGGAATGAGAACATGGAGAGGAACAGCCCTGCAGGCACCAGGGTCAGTGCAGAAGGAGGGGGAGGAGGTGTTCAGGTGCTGGAGCTCAGATTCCCCTGCAGCCTGTGCTGCAGCCCATGGTGAGGCAGCTGAGCCCCTGCAGGCCATGGAGATCCACAGGGATGTAGAGATCCCACTGCACACCAGAGCAGGTGGATGCCTGAAAGGGGGCTGTGACCCTGTGGAAGGCTCACAGAGAGAGGAGCCCACCTGGAGCAGCCTCTCCATAGTGAAGAAACCCCATGGAAGAATGACCCATGCTGCAGCATGCTGCAGAGAAGACTATTGCCCAGGGGATGGACTCACATTGCAGCTATGCTAGAACTTCATTTGCACACATATTTATATGGTCAGATTGGATGGGACTCCATCAACGTGATGTAGCTGAGGATGTCCCAGCTCATTGCAGGGAGGTTGGACTGGCTGACATTTAAAGATCCCTCCCAACCCAAACCATGCTATGATTCTACTTATGGATATGTTTACATATATAGGAATGCTTTTGTTTTGTCCTTTGAGACTTTGTAACAGCTATCTTGCTCTGTAATTAGCTTGAAACCTGACCAACAACAAGGGCTATTGGAATGTTTTTGAATACCAAATTGGTTTTGTGTCATGTCTTATCAAGGGTTTTGAAATCTAGCCCAGATTTCACTGGACAATTTGTCAGATCCTGGATATCTCGGCTGCTTTCCAGACAGCTTCAGAAGGAACTTTGCTCACCAGATCAGCTCAGCATGTTGGGCTGTTCTCTGAGATGATACTTGCAGTTAGCTACTGGCCAGGCCTCTGGGAGCAAATAAACAGCAGCCAAACTCTTTGATCTCTTTTTCACACCAAAGCCATAATGGCAGCATTCAGCTTAATTTGCTGGCTTAGACATTTGGAGGAACATAAAATATCTCCATGGTGCTTGATGTGAACTGGCTTCAGTTGAACAATAAGAAATCAGGAACTTGGGTAGTCACAACTAAACATCATTTAACTCCAGCTGTAGCAAGACCCACATATGTGGAACAGCTTTACTTCCTAACACAGACCTTAGTTTGGGGTTCCTGAATGAGTCCCCTTGAGATAGAAGTTTACATTGGTGAGGGTGCAGGGTAGGGAAAGTAAGGTCTGCCCTAGAAGTCTTGTTTAATATAAGATACACAAGATCACAAACAATTTCTCTGGAGTGAAGTAGTTGCAATGGCATTGTATTTAGAGTCCTGAAAAGCATCCTGGAAGTTAAGGTTATAGAAAGCAGGGCACCATCCAAGCATCTGATGGACAGAGAAAATAAACCAGGTAGAAGCATTTGGAATCTTTTGTCTTTTTACTGTCAGGTTTTTAAAGCTGCCTATGAAGCCTGTGCTACAAGATCTTGCTGGAGACTTTTTCCTGAAAGCTCAAAATCTTGTTTGCCGGACCACCAAAGCTGTGAGATGCTTGTGAGTGCTTTGGAGGTTTGGCCCACAGGGTGAAATTGCTAGCCAGATAACCTCTTTGCTGTAACCCAAGCCCGAGCATGGACATGTGGAAGCTTTCTGACCACACAGTGTGAGTAAAGAAAGACTTTCAGGTTATTTATTTACTCCATCTTTTAAAGTGCTGTTCCAGGCAGGGCCAACATCGCCAACATCCATCATTCATAGAAATGTCTTCTAAGATGAGCTCAAGGCAGTCCATAGGGTCTACTGCAGATAGGAAACAACAGAGCAGAAAAGGAGATGGAATATCAAGCAGCAAGATCTAAACAAGGTCTTAGAATTGTGTTATCTGCTCAGCTCAGCCAGACTGACAAGAAGGATGGGAGCTGACCTTTGATACTGTACAGTGAATATATTAGCCAGGAGAAAAATTCTTGCTAGCAAATAACTCAGGAAAAACTACCTCTGCTAACAGAGACAGAAAAAAAAACCCAAACAAAAAACCCCCAGTCAGAAACATCATCTCAGCAGGGAACACACTAACAGAAAGGAGCTACCACAGCAAACAGAAGCAGAGTCTGCAGTATCAAAACAGTGTGGCATCCTGCTCCTTTTGATGCTTGCCCACTGCCAGCTGTGAAGCCTTCATGCTGCTGCTTTTATGCTCTGCAATGTGACATGAAGCTCTTTACAAAGTAGATACTCTCTGTACCTCTTACTGGGTCCCAGCTTTCAGCAGTAATCAGTCACTGGAAATTTTCTTCTACCTTTTGCCACAAGAGGACTCCAGTCTCCAGTGGCTCCTGGAGAGATGGTTGTGGTTTTTCTAACTAATTTCTCCAGAGACCTGTTCCAGCAAACTAGCAATTAGGATCCTGGTTTAGCAGCAGCTCTGTTTTTCAAAATGTAAAATGAACAAACATGTTTTTTCCAGAGTTCTAAACAGGCAGACTACTATTTGTTTACAAGAAACTCCTGCTCTATCCAGCTATGGCATTGCATATTTTTGCTAAGGAACAATGCACTGGAAAACACTTGTGGGTAAGAGTGATCTTTTTTCTTATAATTAATTGTATACAGCTGTGTTGAAGCTTATGACTAATGATAAAGACCCATGTTTAATAACATTTTTTTCACTCATTTGTTTTAAGCTTCCTGCTTCTTGTCTCACTATGTGCCATGAGCTTAAGGGCAAGTATCTTACAATGCTAACAACCATTCCTATGATGTCTGATTAATGTGGTTATGGCTCTAGAGCCGTTGTAGTAATTATAATGATAGAAATATGACCCTCTACATTTTCATTTTAATAGAGACCCATAAATATATCTTATGGCTTTTATGGCATTTAACTATCTAGTCATGAACAGGAGCTTGTAGAACTATTGTAACTATGTTGTGAGATGTAGGAAAGCATAAAATGTAAGTCTGCTGCACTCTGCAAAATGAGTATGCATTTACAGTTCACATAGGTGGGGGAAGAGGAGCTCGTTCAGCAGTTGTGAAAGGTGGAGGACATGAAAAGGAAGATGCAGGGCAAAGCACTGCAACGTGCTGCTGACCTTAGAGAACTGAGTGATCTGTCTGTTGCTGCTGCTCACCTGCCTTTACTACATTTCTAGACAATTTACCACAATTTCTAGACAATTACCATTTACCACAATTTCTAGACAATACTGATACTGTGTTGTGTAACATCTCCAAGGGTTGCCATAAAAAGACAGGAGATACTGCTTTTCAGTGTTCTGACTGTTAAGGTCTTCGAGTTGCATTACCTGATTGTAAGGACTGGAGTAACAACAGCTGAAACAGCCTGACTAGACTCTCCCGGCACTAGAATTAAAGCTTATTGTGTTTTGCTGCTTTTGTTACCCTGTTTATGATAGAGTTCACACTAGTTTATAAGCCCTTTTAGGACAGAATTTTGTTTCTGTGGTAGGAAAGTTTAGTGTTGCAAACACTGGCAAATGCCCAAAGGAAATACCACAGCTGCAGACCCCCTGAAAGGAATGCTGATTTCTTGCAAAGGAGAGCTGAAACCAGAAGGGTCCTCAGCCCCAACTGCAAAGTACATCCATCAAAGAGCTTCTGTCAAAGGGATATGTGACATCTGGGGGACACTGATGAATTAGCTTTAAGCTAGGGAGCTCAGGTGGCATTAGGACACAGCAACGCCCACCCCAAATGCATGGCTGGGTTATGAGCTCTGTAATCCACATCTACCCACTTAGGGTATTTGCATGGACTGCAGACAGCACATAACCAGCAGATGTGTTTTCTGAATGGCTGTTAACAGAATAGACACTAGAGGGCTGTGGAAATGGTCTTCAAAAATATTAGTGTTTGCTTTGCTTACTCCCCATATTCCTGTGGGTGACTTATTAAGGGGGAGAACAGATCTAAGTCCCAGCTTTGACAGACAGGGAAGTGATGGATTGCTCTAACCCAGAGTCTGAGGACCCATCTGGTGCAAGGTCTGAAGACACAGCAAATTCAAGTTCAGGGCTCCCTGGACCATTAGAAATGCCATGGCTGCACGATGCAAACATCAGTCTGAGGTAAATTTTCTCTCATTTTCTCCAGTTTAGGGACAAGATTTTGACAATTTAACAGCCAAGTATTCTGTTCTGTGTATCACTAATGCCTCATGAACTGTCCTAGAGCACATAGGAAAACCTAATGTATTATTTTTTATCAGGGTCTCTGTTTTGACAGAAATAATTTTAGATGCTCAGGTTTTTATCAAATTAATGTTGTGTAGCAATGTGGCAGTGAACAGATTAAACCCTAGTAATCATAGAATGATTGCCTGATAAGAAAATAATTTCATAAAAAATCTTTAGCCAAAACACTTTTAGAAGGGTTTTTTAAAATGTTCAAAACAGAAATCCCTGGGAAGTGAACTCTTAAGGCCCACTGAGATTCATGTAGGGTGCTAAAAACTGTAGATGTCTGTACCAAAGTAGCTGAGAAGCCATGGTGGGACAAAGCCAGTCTGGATACAGACTGCTGGACCAATGTCAAGACTGTGCTTTAGTTAAAAAGCCATTTGCACCAGACAAGGTGCTGGCAAACTACCTGGCTGCATTTGAGTGTTCCAGCTCTAAAAGCAGAAGGATGAAGGGAGCGGAGGACACAGAAAGGACCCCAGAAAGGACAGGAGGTGACAGAGAGTGAGAAGGCAGCATGAGGCAGGGTGAGCTGCTTCATGCTCTAAGAGGATGTTGCAACTTGGCAGTGCCCTGAGCCAGGGTGATGAGAGGCCTTGGCATCTCCATGCAGTGCCCTGCCCCATTGCACAGTACAGGCTTGCCCTCAGGGTAAAATTTTGGTGAGGATTAAGTGAAAATCCCGACCAACTTGAAGGCAGCTGGAATCATGACAACTCTCCACACCTTGCAGATGATGGCATAAATCACAACAAATACAGGTGAACTTAGAATCACCTGCCCTATGCAAGTGATTCAGGGGCTTATTTAATGGGTAGAGAAGGGCTGTGGTGACTCCTGAATAGTATGGACAGCTTAGTCTGTGTGGGCTGTTCATGGTTTATGCTGTGTTTATAGTGTTTCTTTCCAGGAAAGAGCAAAAATGGATGGTGATTTCTCCCTCCAGCACCATGCTCTACTAGCTAGGTATAGTATTTTCTCTCTATGTCCCATCGAGCTCACTAGGAGAAAATCAGCTACCTCTACTGGCATTAGGTACGTGGATATCAGTGATGCAGGGTGAAGCCTTGCATGGGCTGGAGGCAGTAAGAGAGAGATTGTGCCCTGTTCCAAGTTGAGCTTGCATCTTGGGATGAATTCAGGATTTTTCATTAAGATCTGGGAGACCTTTTCAAGTAAAGTTGCTGCTTTTTAGTGCTGGAAGCTGGCTTCCTGTGTAGTACAAGGAACATCAGAGCTAGTGATCTTTGTTTTGGTTCAGCCCCTGCACACACTAAAGAGAAAAAGGATCTGGATTTTTCTGTGAAGGGTGGGGTAGTAAAGCATTTCAGGCCCATGATTTAATGCTTCTGGTTTCAGAAGCATGAGTCTGAGCTTCATGCTGTATTTTGCACCAAAGCTTCGGCTGTACATGGGTGATTCAGACTTTAGTGATGCAAGTCAGACTCGTGTTGGTCACATTATCCCCTCATGTGATTTTTGGTTTCAGAAAGTTTGGGTGCCTTTTAACTTTGCTACCCCTCTTCCCATGGAGATGAAGGAGGTGTGAAGTGCTGTTTGGCTTACTGTTCTTGGTCCAGTGCTGAACCCTGGGACCCGCAGAGTGGAGGAGAGAGGAAGCATCAATTAAATGCGTGCGGCTGGGTCATTCTCTGCCGCGATGCTTTACCAGATATTCTGCTGCCTGTAAAGTCATGCCTCCCCCGAAGGGCAGGCAGGCTGAGGCCAGGGATGCGATGATTGGACTGTCCTCCTCGTCTGGAGGAGCTTAGGGGTCCGTGCTTGCCATGGGATTGATTTTTCGCTCTGGGTGCACAGGCGAAGCTGGGAGCGTGCCCAGCTGCGTGTCAGGGCTGCATATTGCACGGGCGCCTTTGAGGCACGGCGTCGGCGGAGGCGTGTGGCTGGATGCTGAGACAAAGTGCTCTTGCAGCTGCACGGCTTCAGCGCGCTGATTCCTCCAGGTTGGCTTTTCTCCATTCTCTTGCGCGTGGCGTCAGTGAACCCCAGGGATGGCTTGCTGCTTGCTGGCCGGGGGGTCCGCCTGATTCTTGTTTAAGGGGTTGGTGTGGTTTTGCTTTATTTACTCTGCCTTGGCTTCAGGCTCTCCCTGTGTCGAGAAGAAAGACACAAACTGCGGGGAGTGTGGGGGGGAATAACAAACCGAAGGGAGCCGAGCTCCGGCCGGGAGAGGCCGAGGCGCTCCCCGGGGGCGCTCCCGCAGGGAGCCGAGCACCGCGCCCGCTCCGCGCCGATCCCGCCCGGATTTTGCACGTTTCCTTCCCCCCCGTTTTTTCTTTTCTCCCCTCTCCTCCGTTTTTATTTTTTCTCCCTCTATTTTTCTTCTCCGTCCCCCCCCCTCTTCCCTCCCTCTCTCCCTAGCGTGGTTGGATCAGTCTTTTGGTATTTCCTGCCGCCGCCTCCCCCGAGCAGCTGTCCGGCCGCGGCCCGGCGCTGCGCGCTCTCCGTGCGGCGGGGGCAGCGGCTCGGCGGGGCCCACGCGTGTCCCGCTCCCGTCCCACGCGTGTCCCGGCGATGCGGCGGCGGCGGCGGGGCGCGGCGTGCTGAGCGCGGCACCGCGCGGGGGCTCGGCCGCCCCGGCCAGGTAAGGCGCACCGGACATCCCCCCAAAGCCACATCCTCCCCCGAGTCCCCGAAGCTGTCCTCCCCAAAATTCCCTGTAAAAGCAAATACCGTCCCCCCTCCCCGCCCTAAATTATTCCAATAAATCCATTCCCCCGCCTCCCATGCTAGCTGTTCTTCCTGCCCCCCGCGCTGCCAGGCTGCCTATTTTTAAGTATAACGTGGTACCTCAGATTCGGCTTGCGGGCGGCGTGCTTCCAGCGAGGGGCTGAGTGCTGGCAGCTCTGGGGGGGTAACCTGCTGCCTGTGCCCGTGCCTTGTGCCCAGGTTGTGCGTCGCCCTTTCTACGTGTGCCTTTTGGGGTTCGGCGACGGGAACTGTGGGGTGGATCCCCGTGCCCCCCGACTTCTCGGCATGGCAGGGCTGGGGGGCCAGCAAGCGGCCGGTGTGGCATGTGGGATGGCGTGCTGTCAAGGAGACCTGATTTCTTTAGACATGTGGGCATATCTGGTAGGTGGAATGCATTTTTAATGTACTTCTTCCAGCACGGTGAAGAACTAGTGAGGAGATTGCACTGTTACTAATTGGCTACATTTAATTGACAATAGTAATTACCTTTCCGATAGGTGCTTGTACAGATACCATAGTGTAGATCATAGGCATTGCTATCTAAAAACCAGATTTTGGAAACCTGAGTTTGGAAATGATTTTAGCTTGCACTAAGTGAGGCAAGGCAGCATTCCTAGAGAAATAAACACGTAAGCACATGTGACTGGATCAGTTGGATCAGAAACCATATTTCTTAAGTGCTATGCAAACCTAAAGCATTGTAGTGTGAAACAATTGTTTAACATAAGTGAGGGGGAAAGTTCTTTAAACTGTGTAGCAACCTCCTCACTTCATCCTGCTGCAGCAGTATCTTTGTTGTCAATATATTCCTTCCCTCTCTTTGCACTGATGTAGGAGATAGCAACAGTATTCAGCAGTGTCTGTACCAGAGAACAGCTATTGCACTGGATGTGTCCCCAGATGCTGCCTTTTCTCCTTGGCAGCAAGTTTCCAAAAAGGTGTGAGTGGGGAGGGAAAGACAGAAGCCTCAAGCCAGGCTCTGTGTGTAGCAAGTTCTCTTCCCCAAATCAGAGAATGGGCGTTCTCAGCTGGGTAGATCCCATTAGGATGGCAGTGACCCTGGGAGTATCCCCACCCTGACTGGGCAAGAAAGGGGACAGAGCTGGGCCAAAAGGACCTGGGAGCAGCAAGGGAGCCAGATTCAGCCCCAGGGGTTACTTTGCGGCACTACTGATGGAGGTACAGACAGCAGTTCTCTGATTCAAGGGAGAAAATGCAGGCCATAGTCCTGCCCACCGCTTATTTTGGTTTGAAGAGGACAATGTGAACCTAAGGAATGATTTAATCATGGTGATGCATGAAAGTAACTGAAAGGCGGATTTACTGCTCTCATCTTTTCATGGTGCTTAATTTAATTTTCATGTGCTTTATTGCAACACTGATTCATCAGGTGAGTGGGAGGGAGGCTTGTAGAGTACAGGTGGTTCAGTTTCCATTACTGGATTAGATATTTCTCAAGGTGCTTTCTTGGCTACAGCAAGAGAAAAATACAGATACAGAGCTGTGGTTTGGAATCCAGGATGTCTTTAGGGAAAGGCCATTCCTATAATCTGTAATGTGCAGTGTTTGAAATCACTGTGCCATGCTCAGAGCAAAACTGAGACTCAACTAATTCTTATTATGTTCATAGATCATAAAAATTTCAGTTAAGCTAATCTGAATTGGGTTAGACTCACTTCATGTCCAAGGGAGCTGTTATCTGCTGGAGGCAATTGTGAGATTGCCACTGCTGAAGGTCTTTTAGTGCTGGATCTGGGGCTGAAGTGTGTCAGCAGGGCCCTGCCCTTCTGAGCTGTGGAGCACAGACCTCCCTCTGCAACTGCACAGATTTGTGCTGTTTGAGCCTCTGTTTTATTTGGGGGAAAAACTGCATTTAGTGTTTTTTCTCCTGACCTCCTTGCCTTTGAAGCATTAACAGCACAGTGTTTTCTCAGCCAGAAATGCTGCTCCTCACGCCTCCACTCCTCAACATGAGATGTCTCTGGCAGCACGTTGTAGGTGTTTGTGCATGCCTGCTGTGGTTACTAAGGTAAAGGAAACACAAGAAGCAGCTCAGGGAATGGAAACAATCCAAATGCCAGATACACACGGGTTTGGGCAGGAATGACAGTGACCTGCTCTGCCAGCATGTCTCAGTGTGGGTCTGGGCTTGCTCACACCTCACACAGGCTCCTGACTGTCACTGCTGGTGTTTATGCTGTGCTTTGGAGCATCAAGCGTCTTGAGACTGAGCAAACTCCTCCCAGGTGCTGCTCAGCCCTCATTTTGGAGCTGTGTGGTTGTGGTGCAGTTAATTGTACAGGGCCGTGTCTAAATCACAGGTTCTGCCTTCGTCCCAGCTCCTCCCCACCACAGTGGCTCTTTCTGGTCATGCAATGAAGGAGGAAGGAGACAACCACCCTGAAAAACACCCTTTTGATAAAGTAGCTGCTGAGCCTCTGTGGAGGACTAAGGAGCAGTGTACAACCTGCCCAGGTTTCCACATTTCTTAATTACTGGAATACTCTTTCTCTGCTCAAGGCGTGGGAGTGTTGTGCTTGCACCGGGCTCTAGGTACTGTATATGCATCTGTGTAATACAAAAAGATCAAGGGACTAAAGCGGAATATTCTGCAAAATTGAAGCAGCTAACAGCAGGCTAGTAAGAGTTACCTGTAAATGGTTTCTGCCCGTCACAGGAGGAGAGTGATGTGAATGGGGGATTAGGGTTAGAAGGTTAAAATAGTCCAGCTGCTTGTGTGGTGGTGGTTTTTAATTTCTTTTAAGCTGCATAAAAACCATGGGCATATCCCTTGTTCTTTAGTCTCAGTTTTCTGTAGTGTTTGTAGAGCTACAGTTGAAACTGTGCCATTTTTTCCTTTACGCTCCTTTGACATTGAAGGATTTATAGGTGTATATAAATCAAAGTCTGAATTGAAAAGACTCAATTCTCGTCTTTGTTTAATAAACAGCCAGCTGTATACCTGGGATTTCCTTTTGTAGTGTGCCACTGAGGTCTGTGCTCTGTTCCAATATCAATAACTTTACTGTGCTGGCAGTTTTCTTGATAGTAGTTTTTCTATGTGTTTTGTTAAACTCCATGCCAAGCTTCAACTTACTGGGAATTGACTGCAGGGCTGTATGAATTTGAGTGTTTTGGCAACCCAGTTACCATTCGTATGATTATAGCATCAGTGAAAAATTAACCAGCTGAAGGCAAAAGAGAAATCTTTAATAAACTGGGATGTGTGCAGCTCTCATTGTGGGGGGAGGGGGGAAACTGAACATGGGGCTTGCCTGCTTCATCCTTTCTAATCTGTCAGTGAATCAATCAATGTGAAATTGTACCCCCAAGGAATAATGTAATAGCTATTTTGTGTGTATTCCCAAACTGGAATGCTACTGTAGTAGAGTCCTGAAGGGTGTGCTGTCTGAATCGATCAGCAGAAACCAGGATAAAAGCAGACTTGCTGCTAATCTATCAGATGTGGCAGAGAGGCATCGAGGGATGAAATGTCTCGTTCTGTGTTGATTGCAAAGCTTAAATGTGAGCTTGGTCCTTCTGCGTCTCAGCACTTCAGGCACAAAAGCAGTGTCCTGATAGTCCTCCTTCAGTTTTCTCTCAGCAGAATCATGAGATTGCTGTGAAAAGCACTTTAATTTTCATGCCAACGCATTTTATTGCAGACAGCTGTTGTAGTGTCATTGTTCCTTCCCACCTTCAGTGCTGCAGAAGCAGCTCGGCTTTTGTTACCTGTGTTGTTTGATGCCAGTTAAGAGTGCAAAGCCTATGCTAGCACTGCATTTTTGAATTGATTTGCTCTTTTCTCAGGTTAAAATAACAGGGAATTCTCTCCTCACAGCAATATATTGCCATGTCCCAATGAGGAGAGGAAGGGAATTCTATTCCCTTGCATAACTGTTGATCAATGTGAATCATCTTTGCAGAATGAAAAGAGCAATTTAAATTTCTTTTGTGTTATTTTTTTGATATTTTTGCACTTTCTCTTTTTTCATATGACTTCAGCATCAGGAGACAATAACTTTTATGTAGAAGTA